AATATATTAATTAGTATAAATTAGGATTTCAACAAAGTCGGATAACTAGATGATAGAACCTTTAACATGTATAAATATGTTGTAAATTTCTCTTTCTTGAAGAACCAGTTAATTAGTTCATCAGTTCATTCATTCTTAATTACTATCTTGTAATAACAATAATATCTTATTAATAAAATACAAACATAAATATCTCTTAAAATAATCTATTGCCAGTGGAATTATCCACCCGCTTCCTAACCCATCTAAACTTTTAACTCTAACCTAATAATTAATTAATTACTATCTTACCAGGGGGACACCTTTGATAAGTATAGTGTGTGTATTCTCTTTTAATTTTATTTTCTTTATTTTAGATTAGGCCAACACCTAAACAAGTGGAAACCCTAGCTAGGTGCGGTCAGTTAGAAACACTGAACCATAAAAACACAACACATCAGTATCAAGGAGGATACTGGGATTATTATCAGCAGAGATAATAATTGACATGTTCCGGCTCAGGCAGCAAACATAGCAACTGCTGAGAAAATGTTACCGGAAGGGAAGTAAGAAAACTTGCCCTACAAATAATTAAACAGCTTGAGCACTATAGCAAGAGAAGTAATCAAAGAATTACATAACTGGATACTGCCAGAAAACGGCATAAATAATATTTTAACCAAATCCAGGAGATTTGTGTGAGACATGAATTTTTGATCTCACAGTAGTGAACCAATACTGTTTCCTGTTTCAAAGGTTATAACTTCTCTGTAAGGTTTTAAAAAAAACAAATACATAAGTTGACAAAAAAATTTGACATTAATATATTAATAAACAGAAAAGTTTGTTAAATGCTTTCCTCTTCTGAACCACCAACATCATTATTATCATTATCATTAGGTATAATAACCTATTAAAAATATAGTATTTATAAATATATATAAAAAATGCAAATGTTATAAAGATATAAACTTATTATAACAATGAAAACATTCGATATATAATATACAGTATAGGTACATGACTCTCCAGTTAGACACAGATTTCTAAAATGAAAAAAAATGAACAAACAGAAAGGAACTTTAAAATTACTTACACCATCATCATCATCATGATAAATTTGTAATATTTCAATATCAACATCACTGCCACTATTACTCTGTAACAGTAATGTGGTAATATAGATGCTGGTCACAATTCTTGGTGATGGTTGCAACCATATTTGCAACATATAAAAATGGTTTGCAACACCTGGTTGCAACCACCTTTGCGACCACTTTGGTTTCCTTTTTTGGATTGCGACATTGAACACTATTCTCAACATTTTTTATATAGCATGAGCATTAAAAAACTATATGAATCAACTTGATTTAACTTAAACAACTTTAAAATAATTTTGCCCAATTTTGGCTAATAACAAAAAGTAGTTTGGGCTTATAAAAAAAATAATTTTTGCCCAAAGTATTTGAGCAATTTCGGCTACTAATAGAAGCAGTTTCGACCAGAAACCTTAGTTGGGAACCCTTTTAATTATTCAGATACATCTCAAGGTGACGCCTTTGAGATATAATCATTTACATAGAACCTAGGGACCCTTTTATCCAGGAAGATAAAAGTTATTTCTATTATTAATCTTTGACCATAAGTCAGCAAGTAGGCTGTGTGTCATATATATATAATTAAAGGAAACTTGACCATAAGACAGCGAGTAGGCTGTGTGTCAAACAATAGAATCAACCATAAGTCAGTGAGTAGGCTGTGTGTTGAGCTATAAATAACTTATTAATTAGGAAACTCAGATTGCATGCTCACACTAATGATAGAAAAAAGCTAATAGAATCAAATTGTGAGATTGTAAATGGGGACTGAGGAAGTTCTGAGCATGTTGATCAATCAAGACCAACTTACTGCTGAAGTCACGTGAAAATTATATCATTTCTATTTTATCTTAATATTTCGTGCAACTGCTATGCCACACATTATGCCACATTACACATGTAGATCATTACATCATTTCTATTTTTAACTTATTTTATGATATAATTATTTACTTTGAATTATTAATCAAATTATTTGTAATGCTCAGTTGACCCAAATATTTAGAAGCATTAGTAAGCTAGTATACAGAAAATAGGATTAATAAGTATATGGGTTCCATGCTAGCAAAAAGGACCTTCGGGCTCAAGAACCCCAAAATGAGTTATTGACACTGTTATATTCTTTGAAGTGATGATTATAATTTGGCATAGTTTTTGTCAGCATTCAATTAATAGAAAAGTGTACAAAAATTTATTGAGTTTTGATCCTCAAAATTGTATAGTGACAAAAAAGGAAATGATAATCTTACAATTTTTATTAGGGATGGGGCGGTTCGGTTCTGGTCCATGGAACCGGTTCCAATAGAACCAGAACCGAACGAACCGGTTCCAAAATAGATGTAACACAAGTTATTATTGTCAAAACTAATTTTTGCTATTGATTGATTAAGTTACTTTGCAATAATAAACCCATCTTTATCTTTATCTTTGTCAACAAAAATTTCATTAAGGATAACTTCTGGTCTTCACTTGAAAAAGCATAACTTCAGGTCCTTGCAGAGAATGATAGATAATTAACATTCTAATAAAATAAACTCTGTGATATAATCATTATTTTCACTAATAAAATTAATTGTTAATAAAACTTTTAAAAATAAAAACATTGTCATTATTTTCTTGATAAAAGCAACAAGTGTAGTTAGTGCCTTGGTAAAAGGTAACAATTGTGAGTCTTTGGTAAAAAGCCATGTTTATTTGCTTTAGCAACCAAATAAACAAGGTTAGGGTTAATTAGTGAGTGTTAACAACAATTAGTAACATAATTTGATTTGGTGAGTAAGCAAAGGTTTGGACTAACATTGGTTAACTAGTGGGAGTTAATGAAGTAGTTTTATTGTAATTGTAAATGTAAGGTTTCTGAACAAGCTATATACTTAAGTTGTTTTGCAAGTAAATCAAAGCGAGTTTGCAATTGGACAATAAATGTAAACAAGGGCAAACAACTAAAATAAATAAATTGATCACAAGTGTATAAAGGGAATTTTATAACACTGCAAAAGGGCCATCTTTATTTATTTACAGTTATCTGATACCATTAAGTGTGCTTACAGATTCGTCTAGGTGCAAGGAAGAGAGAACCAAAGTTAAACTAATTAATCAATTGACCAAATTATTACAAGTTGCTTGCAATTAACTGACAAGAGCAGTCCAAAAGTTAAGCTGTAATCAGCCATACATGTTAAATAACCAAAATGCTACACCATTTGACAAGAATTAAAACTGAAAAAAGTTTATTATTATAATTTAGCTTTAAGAAATAAATTAAAGATAAAATAAAAAATATAATGAATAAATAATTTATAGTAGGAGATTAAATCAGTCATTCATCAATCCTAGAATCTAACGTTACTAATTAATTAAAATATTGTTAGAAATGGATAGTAATTTCCAATTAATTATTAATAATGAAATTTTTATTCACCTTCAACATTTAAGAGAAGAGAGCTAAAATCAAGATTATTTAATGAGCTATCATTACTTGTATAACTTTTTAAGCTTTTAGATTTAGCAATCTCTTCATCTAATATTCTACTTGTATGATATGCATCTGGATGTGATTTGTG